GCTGCCAAGCAAATGATTGCTTGTTTCTTCGGTTATACCGGACATGTGATAACCGTGGCTTTAGAGGATCGAAAGACTGTAAATATTGATTGGTATACAACAATTTGTTTGCCAGAAGTCATAAATGAATTGCGTAGAACAAACAGAAATCGTCGCATCATCCATCATCCTTTCATGACAACGCTAGCTGTCACACCGTTGATTTTTTATCCAGTAATAATGTCGAATTGATGACTCATTGTCCGTATTCACCTGATTTATCACCTAATGACTTCTTTTTGTTCCCAAACATTAAAAATAAGATGCGTGGTGAGCGATTTAAGTCGCCTGAAGCAGCTGTTGAAACATTTCGTACACTGATTTCTGAAGTTACAGCCTTAGAGTGGAAAAAATGCTTCGAAAATTGGTTCGAACGTATGCAAAAATGTATCAATTTTAAAGGCGAATACTTCGAAAAACAATAAAGCCATTTACCGAATTTTACATGTTTTTTTTCATATTGTTTGCAGAAACTTTTTCAGCAGCCTACGTATTAAACTAAGGAACACATAATCCGATATACCTGAATACACTGTTTTTGATAGGTTGAAATCATTACTCCTTATTTCTTATTATTACGAGCGCAGCTCGCAAGGAGTTGCGCACAATAGTAGGAATAAGGAATTAGAAATAAGGAATAATGACAAAAGATAAATAATAAAAAACATACTGCCACAACAATAAATGTAAACAAGTCATATATTTTTAAAATTTCAAATAAATAAGTACTTATGCTGAACGCAATATTATATGTAAGGTCCTGCGCATAATATTGTAAAAGTAATAAGGAATTAGGAATAAAGAATAAAGATTTTAACCTGTCAGAAATCGGATACATCGGAATACACGGTTTCGAATAGGTTAAAATCATTATTCCTTTAAAGTTGTTTGAAAGTGGCTAAGATAATTACAAAAGATAAATAATAAAAAGCATACAGCCACAACAATAGATGTAAATAAGTATTGGGAGTATAAATAAGTTTCCGCCGTTTGACAAACAATGGCGCTACCAGTATGTTATAGTTAAAATTGTCAGTTGTAAAACGTCATATCGTAAGGTTGGACAAGAGGCTGGCAAGAACATAACCTTAAAATATTAGCGATTTTGCATCAGCATCTTATATCTTTTTTTCGTGCGAAAATGTCGAGTTTTGAGTCGAATAAGCATCATTTGCGGGAGCTTTTGATTTACTTCTTTAATTTGAAGAAATCTGCAGCTGAGGCGTATCGATTGCTTGTAAAAGCATATGGTGAGGCTGCCTTAAGTGAGAGAAGTTGCCGTGAGTCGTTTCAAAAATTTAAGAACGGTGAATTTGGCGTTGAAGACAAAGAACGTAGCGGAAGGCCGAAAGTGTACGAAGACGCGGAATTGGAAGCATTATTGGATGAAGATTCGTGCCAAACGCAAGAAGTACTTGCACTTACATTAGGAGTGACTCAACCAGCAATTTCACATCGCTTAAAATCGTTGGGAATGATTCAAAAGCAAGGAAATTGGGTTCCATATGAACTGAAGCCGAGAAACGTTGAACGCCGATTTTTCACATGTGAAATGCTGCTTGCCAGGCATAAACGAAAGGGTTTTTTGCACCGTGTAGTCACTGGTGATGAAAAATGGATCCACTACGATAACCCAAAGAAGAAGAAATCATGGGGACCACCTGGCCATGCTTCAACATCGACAGCCAAGCCGAACATTCATGGGAAAAAGCTCATGTTGTGTATTTGGTGGGATCAGCTAGGTGTCGTTTATTATGAGTTGCTCAAACCGAACGAAACCATTACTGGGGCTCTCTACCGAACACAATTGATGAGATTGAGCCGAGCACTCAAGGAAAAACGCGCCCACTACTACTCCAGACACGACAAAGTTATTCTTCTGCATGATAATGCTCGTCCACATGTTGCGGCGCTGATCAAAACCTACTTGGAAACACTTAATTGGGAAGTTTTACCCCACCCGCCGTATTCACCAGACATTGCTCCTTCTGATTACTATCTGTTTCGATCGATGGCGCATGGCCTGTCCGAGCAACACTTCACATCATATGAAGATACCAAAAATTGGGTCGATTCGTGGATAGCTTCAAAAGATGAAGCGTTTTTCCGACGCGGTATCCATATGCTGCCAGAAAGATGGGAAAAAGTAGTGGCTAGCGATGGACAATACTTCGAATAAAACATTAGGTACCGTTTCTTTCACAATAAATGGCCAATTTTTTATAAAAAACGGCGGAAACGTATTTATACTCTTAATAATTATCTTAGCCATTCGTCATGCCGTCATGTGTGGTTACGTTACGTGCAATGTGGCCAATAGTGCCAATGCTGGTCTATTGGTTAGAATCAAAAGCCATCTGTTATTATAAAACAAACCGTACATTTTTCCTCTGATTTGATTGACATTAAATTAAATAACATCAAAAATTTCAGATTTTGCATCGCAATATCTCCGTTCATAGGGCACGTAGAAAAAAAAATAAAAACACTTTTATATATTTTGAACGGATGCAATCAATTGAGCACTTAGCAATTGAGCAACACCTAATCAGTTCAGCCCTTATTGAAATCCAATAATCTCAATTGCTGGCAACTCGCCGACTCGCGTAAAATAGCCACAGCAGTGTCGCTGTGCATAACTTAGCGCCGAAACACTACCAGTATCTCCAGATGATTATTTATTTACTGTCAGGGGGGTAAAGATAGCTTTCACTATTTTTATAATCATTTTAAAGCGATCTTATTTTATCCAAATCGTCTTTATTTACAATGGCATATTTTTAATTATTTTTTTGTGTACTCTTTCCAGGAGGATCTGAACATTTTTTTGCAAAATCCATTAGTATCAATATGTCTTTTTTTAAATGAATTATTCCTCCATTGGATTCCTCTTATATAAAAAAAAGGAAAGTTTAAAATAATATAGCCGATGCCGTAAACAAACATTCAGGAAAATTTAGCATGCTGACCGAAAAAATTATTAAATGTTTTGAAAATCCTATTCAGACGATCTAACAAAATCAGCTACAGAACCTTGTATTGAATTGATGACTATATTTGAACATTGTGTTCTAAAAAAATGATTCTATTCTAAAAAAAATGGAGAGTTTGTATTAAAGACAAATGATAGACCAACCTCTATTATTATATAATGAAACATGTTTATTTTCTAAGTGTTCGCATATTTTTTAAAACTAAAAAATAAAACTGACTGTATAAAACAATGGGCTATAAGGAGTCAGCATGGTACTTTACTTTTAAGCGCAATGCAATTTATTCTTACAATTATTGTAATTACGATTTCAAATTTCTATACATTATAACGTATGTTTCAACTCTGGTCCGAGTCATCTTGAGGTATCAATAATCTCATGTCCACATTCAGGTCAATCACTGATTTATCATTATCGATATCACTAAAGCTGACTCGAATCAGAGTCAAAACATATATCTTCAAATTATCGGTATGTTTCGTATTTGAACGAATTCTTTAATCAATACTCTATTGCAATACAATATAATACTATTGCAAATGTGTATTAATTTTAAAGAATTTTTTGGTAAAAATGCGACTTTATTGTGAAAAAATGGTTACAAATTGATCATTCAAAATATTATCCATCGCTAGCCACTACTTTTTGGTAATAAGTGAATTCCACGTCAAAAGAACGACACATCTTTTGGCTATCCACGAATAGATTTTTGATATCTTCAAGAATGGAAGCGCTGTTCAAACAAGCCATGAGTCATCGATCGAAATAGGTAGTAATCGGAAGGAGCAATATCTGGAGAATACGGAGCGGATGTGATAGGACATCCCAGTTAAGCGCTTCTAACGTTTCTTTGACTGGTTTCGCAACATGTGGCTGAGCGTTGTTGTGCTGGAAAAATCTTTGTCGTGTCTTTTTGCGTAATCTGACCGTTTTTGCTTCAATGCTTAATTGCATCAATTGTTGTTGCTAGCGTTTCCCAGTGATGGTTTCGTTGGGTTGGAGCAGCTCATAATACACTACACCCAGCTGATCCCATCATATACAGAGCATGAGTTTGGCACAATATTCGGCTTTGTCGTCGATGGTTTGCCTAGCTTGCACCATGATTTTTTGCGTTTTGGATTATCGTAACATATCTATTTTTCATCATCCGTCACAATACGATGCAAAAAACTTTTTCTTCTTTGTCTTTGAAGCAACAATTCACAGGTCATTTTGTGTCTTTCGACGTCCGTCGGCTTCAACTCGTACGGTACCCAATTCCCTTGCTTTTGAATTATTCCAATGGCCTTCAAACGTCTTGTTCGAAATCGTTGATCAATCGACATTTAATGATTCTGCAAGTTCTTGCGTTTAACTCGAATTTTGATCGAATAAAGCTTCCACTTCTTCATCTTCAAACTTTTTCGGCTGGCTCGGATGTTCCTTGTCTTCCGTGTCAAAATCGTCTTTTTTAAATCATCGAAACTTGTATTCATATATTGAAATCGATGAAGTATAATCACCATAAGCTTCCGATAGCATTCGTTGACTTTCAGCAGCACTTTTCTTCAAATGGAAGCAAAAAAGCAAAGCTTCCCGCAAATTGCGTTTTGTTGACACAAAATTCGATATATTCAATGCTCAAAAAGCAATGTTGTTTACACTTCGGCAAAATGAAAACTAAAGCCACATGATAGTGCTTTGAACATGAAGGTAGTAACAATATGGTCTGATGCGGTAGTACTAGTTACGCCATCTCTTGAAAATCCTTTAAAATTAATGCATACTACCAATATATTACAAAAAATTAACTTTAGTGAGTTATGTAGAAATATAATTTAAAAAACAAATATTTTTGTTAACTTTTGATCTCCCCATAAGATCTATTTGAAAATATCTGAAATAAAATGAAATAAAATACATTTTGGTTTACAATATTAGATATTCTATTTAAAAACTTTGTTTTAATATTTATTAAATAATTAATTATAAACTAAATTTTTAATATTGGAAAAATTACTATCAAATTTTCCTAAAAGATTCAGCTTTCTATTTTAATTTTAAAATTTATATACTATCTGTTATATTTATTTGACGTATCATATATTTTATTGATAGATATATTTTTCAATAAACGTTCGTATATATGTTGTTCTTTTTAATTATCACATATTTATTAAAAAATTGTTTTAATTTCGGCGTACGCAATAATTAAATTATACCCTCGCATCCGTCCTCTGAATAATTGCTATTGTATCGATGGTTGTAACAGAAATGGATATTTATTATTCATTCAATAAGCATCAATTTGGAGAAATTTAATAATTTGTACATGCATTTTAGTCTGTTTTTGGTTCGTGCCGATGTCATTATTTGTCAGAGTATGTTCCCTGTATTTGAGTTAGCGATTCTATCGAGCTTGATAACTATACCGTTACATAATAAATAATTTGTGACAGGCGTAAACAAATTTAGCTGGTAGTTTACGAGCAGTAGCAATTGCTCGCGAAATCTATATGAATAATACTTGATTGCAAACCCATTTCAAGATTGGCACTTAATTACAATGAAATAGCTATATGTGCCGCAACAAATGTAAATATCGATGACATTTCAAATGGACTTATTGATCTCTTTGATACATTAACAAATGTTTAGCTAAGCTGCAAAGGAAAAAAATATATATAAGATTTAATTTAAAATGCTATACATATCTGTAACAGCGTTACAAAAATACATGAGTTGAGCTTATTCGAAAAATTCAGGATGTAATGAATATCGTAAAAAAATAAATTCTTAGTCAGGCTATTCTCTCTAGCATTAACACAGAAATAAAAGAAAATGATTCTATGCGACGCGCTGCATCGAAAATTTAACGCAAAAAAGATTCTAACGGCATGGAGCGATGTAATGAAATTTAATGTTTTGCAGTAACATAAATTAGGGAGTGTGTGTACGGCGTGATTCCATGCGTCACGTGCGTAATATGCACGTACGTGGTCAGGTCCGTAGTAAAAAAGGATCGACCTCATACGACCGCAGCATGTTAACGAGAAAGCAATAAAATTAGTCTAAAGCTAATTAAATCGAACGCGTCTCTAATAGGCTAATGGTCGGTAATTAACTATTTGCGCGGCATGCGTGCGTACGTGCCCAAGTAAACAGGTATGTGTATGGCAAGATTGTTGGAAAAATACTTATATATAGAGAGAAAGCTAACTGCTTGTGTGTGCAAGTTAAACCGTTGTTTAAGCAGCATATGGTGCAAGAAACAGCCGGCGCAAAATCGCTTATTTTGCGATATTCATAGCAGGCCACGTATGTTACCTATATTCGCTTGCGACATCGTCTTTAGTGCATACACGTTGCGATCAAGTTTCGCGAAATAGAATTAATCCATCTGTTGTTCAAAGCGGACATGGAGATAATGGCGCACTGATTACCTTAATCATTCAATCAATTATTACTTGAATTTCTTTCTGTAGAACGTGGGGAATCTGTTTTTAAGTTCAAAGTGTAATGAGTGTATATAAATCCATTTGCTAGCGATCAGTAATTTATACTGTATGGTCAGCAAATTATAATATAATTAAAATTACGAAAAGATCTTCTTTGTAAAATAAAGCCAAATAAAAGAGAAACAAAATAAAAAAGAATATAAGAAATAAAAGAGTATAGAATAATTTCTTTTCTTAATTTTTTCATCGATTGCGAATATTTGAGAAAAAAAAGTTAAACATAAAAGTTTAAAGTATGTATGTTTTTATTATACTGTTGGACAAAAAATGACTTTTTGAACATAGGAATGAGATCAGTCATTTCCCATAGTTTTTGGATGCTGAATTTGAATCTGTTTCCAAATACAATAATTCTATCATGTCACAATTTCAAAAAATTTACAGTTAAAGTTACAAGAAGAGCTATTTTGAGCTTTCGTCATATTATAACTACGTGACGTATAGACGTGGCATACGTACATATATGTATATGTGACGTGTTGGAAAAGTTTTGTGACAATTAACCCAATATATAACTATATGGCATATACGTTAAAAAATAATTCATAAACACTAGAATTTTATCTGTAATATGTATAATACTTATAAAAATATATAATATAATATTCTTATTACATAAACGTTTTTTAATACTCTTGGATATAATAATTTTAATCAAGTCAGGTTCATAATGTTTAGTAATATTTTATAGACGCGTAAATAATTGAAAACGGAAACTTTATTGTTTTTTATGTTTTGCGATCTTCTCTTTTCTCCGGTGAGCTCACCTTCGGGCGTAGTCTAAATATTAAAAATTTTGTATTTAAAGGCATTAATATTGCGAATCCATTTGTTTATCTGGTGTAAGTCACGATTATCGGGTGATAATCACGTTCAATATGTCTCGATATCAGATTGTAAAACTTAGTATTACATTTATTATTACAAGATCAATACATTTTTGTCGCGTTGTTTGTTGTGTATAAAGCATATTACTGAATTTATTGTAATTAATTAAATTGTTAATTTGCAATTACATTCAATAATTAAAGCTATTAATCATCTAACTGTGTAAAACAGTATTAGTAAATTTAATTGATCGCTGTGACTACTCTAAGGGTTCAACAGGTTGTGGGCCTAGAACATGCGGTTAATAGAGAAATGATTTGCAGATAGTAAAAAAAAGAAAACATAATAAAGAAATGAATACTTGTAGAAGTTAAAGAAAATAAAGTTTCTAATATCAAAATATAGAAGAAATTAAAATACAGATATAAAGCGTTAATTAGTATTTGGAAGAAAAGACAACTCTTGAAAATTTTTTTCAGAATTTTTCATATAATTTTTCAAATTTATGTATATTTTTATAATTTTCTCACATTTTTTTATACGAATTGGAACACTTCTCAGAAAATGTATATCTTTTCTCAGAATTTTCTATGTTAATTATAAAAAATTTTTTGTAAGATTTTTAAGACTTTTTTGTAAGTTTAATTTCTGATGAAATGTTAAAAAATGTTATAAAATCTAAAAAATTTAGAAATACTTTTTTAAAATTATGATGAAAAATATCAAACTATTTCAAAATCACATATATGAAAAATTCTGAGAAAAGATTTAAACTTTCCGAATATTTCTGAGTATTTTTGAAAAATGTTTCAATTCATATAAAAATTAAAGAAAAATTAATAAAAGAAAAATTTTTTTTATCAGGTAAAGTAAAAAAAAATTATTTTTTCTAAGCGATTAAAAAGAAGTTATTAATATAAAAAATTTTTTTTATTTAAGAATTTTGAGCAGTAGTGTTGATCTATTAGATAGAAAGTGAAAAACTGTAAAAGATTGATATGATTTGTTTGGTTAGAAAAATTGATTATTCAGAAATGGCAAAAGCATTCAGCGAAGATATTGTACATATTGAAAAACTGTTTAATGCTGAGAATTATCGTTTTTGGAAGCATCAATTAGAAATATTGTTTTGTGCTAACAATTTGTATGATGTAGTAACTGTGTGTAAGAATGTAGAAGAATGAAAATGGTTGAAAGATAATTTATTAGCTCAAAAAAACTATTGTGATGACTGTTGATAAAAAACTGTTGTCGCGTTATTTTGCTCGTCTCAACGAAATTGTAGTAGTCTCTACCGCGATGCGAATAGTGCTAAGAGGAGAATTGTAATAAGATAACCACTGGTGTTATGTGTAATCAGCTAAATATATTTTTACTTAAAAACTACAAGGCTGTCTAATCTCATCTCTCGAAGTCCTTTGTAAATCCGCGAACCGTGTCGTGAAATAGCGCACAACAGATCTAATTCAATCCATTTTTATGAATTCAAAGTTTGCATTAAAAAAATTTTAATCCATTTTAAACCATTCTCGTTTACTGGGAGGCTGTGAACAGAGAGAAAGTTTGGATTTCCAGGAAACTTATTCCTGTAATTGGACATAGTGCTTTGAGAATTTTTGCTATAGCAACAGCTAGAAATTATAAAATGATTACTTTCAATGTCAAGATAGCTTTTTCATATGGAGAGCTGAAAGATAAAATCTTTATTTATATATCCGCCAGAAAAATACAATTACAAAAACAAAATTTTAAAACTTAAAAAGACTATATATGGTTTGAAGCAAGCCATTGAGGTGAAATATAAAATTCATCAATTTTCTGAAAGAAAAAAAAAGGTATTTATGTCTTTGAGCAGCAAAAACAATGTATGTTTAAAAAAAATGATAGTGATCTGATTCTTGAAATCAGAAAACATGGATAATGGTTTGCTGATAGGAAATAATTCAGATAAAATGAACAAGATTTTAAAGGAGCAGGGAGAAGAATTTAAAATAAAAATAACAAGAGATCTGAAGGCACTTGATGCGGTAACAGCATATCAAGATTCAGTAATTCTTTCACAGCAAGATTGTATTAAGAAGATCCTACATCAATGTGGAATGGAAAATGCGAAGACTGTAAGAGTACTAATACTTAAGCAAGAGTTGAATAAAATTTCATCTAAAACAGATAAATTTCCGTTTTTAATTTAAAGAAATGGTAGGAAGTCTTTCTTATACGTCATTAAAATCAAGACCAAATATATACAGTCAACTTTGTAAGCAGATTTGTTGAAAATTATTTTCGAAAAAGAATCAATAATATAAAACATATTTTAAAATATATATTAGATTGTTCGGAAAGTAATTTCGTTTTTTCTTATGAAAATGAAAGACGATTTTCAATCAGACGCGTTTCAAATGATCATGAACGGTCGAATTCGATAAATTTAATCTCTCAGCGATCTCACGAGTTGTTATTCGCCGGTTTGCATCAATTAATGCCTTTATTGTGTCTTCATCAGCTTCAACTGGCCTTCCAGAACGTGGTGCATCTTCAACATCAAAATTGCCGAAATTTTGCAAACCAGTTTTGGCACTGGCGTTCTGTCAATACATGTTCTCCATACACATCGGATAATTTTTTTCTTGCTTGAACAGCATTTTTACCTTTTCGATAGTAAAAAAGTAAAATATGCCGAAAATTGCCTGCTTTTCACTTTCATATTTGATAGGGCACTAACCAAAAACTATTGCGTAGAATCAATCGAACTTTTTTCACAAGCAAGCCTTGCTATATCAGCTGTCAAAATATAGAATGATTATGCGGCTTAAGTGTGAAGTTGGCTGTGAAAAAAACAATAAGTCCTCTGTTGGGAAAAAACGAAATTACTTTCCGAACAACCCAATAAATAGGAATATTCAGAGAGAATCGAGGGAAAGTGAAGCTATCCCGGAAGCCGTCATTTTTAGTGCTGTTGAAGTAGTAGGAGATATGGTAGGAGCGTGATGGAACATATGGCACTGCATACATTAGTATTGTATCACACTAGTATTGTGTGTATGATATATATGTACATACACATACATGCACATTTGTGGAAATATTATTACTATAAGTGACGGAACCAATTAGAGAAGAGAAACACTCTCCGCTCTACTCTCCCTTGATTCTCTCTGGGAATATCAGTAAAGGTATAGAATACAAGAAGATGGAAATATTCCATTCGGATTGGAAATACAGCTTGCTTGAAGCATACTCAGATGCAGACTATGCAGGCGGATTTAAAAATCAGAACTGGTTACATAATATTTTTTGCAGGTGGTCCCATAAGTTAGTGTTTAAGAAAATAACTAATATTAGCAGAATATCTACTACGGAAACTGAATACATACTACATAGCTGCTGCAGAATGCTGCAAAAAACTATTATACTTGAAAACTTTGCTAGAATCTTTATGAAAAAAATTCAAAATTGGAGTGTTTATACTTAAATTTAAGTATTAACACTCAATTTTGGAAATTTACGCTCAAATTTGTATATACTTAAATTGTGAGTGTTTACACTGCAGATTAAGTGTATACATTAAAAGATTTAGAGTAGACACTCGATAACTGAGTGTTCACACTTAAGTTGGAGTGTACACGCTATAAACATTTAAAAATTTACTCTCAACACTTGTATACTCATTAGAAACGTTAAGCGATTTAAATATCTGAGTGTCATTTTTGAAATTAAATGTAAAATTAAATGTTAATCTTTATGATCTAACATTAACGTTAAAATGTTGAATATGGACGTAGGTTTATTTTGAAAAGAAATATATTTTAACCATGAAAACTTTTTGACAATATCTATTAAACAAAAGTATATTTTAACTAAAGAAATATATTTTAACCATAGAAACTTTTTTTTGTCAATATCAATATTAAACAGATATGTCACAACTGTATGTAAATTAACAAAAATCCCTCAATTTTGGTGTTAACACTCAAATTTAGGTGTTTACCATCAAAATTTAGTGATAACTATCAATATTGTGTGTATGTTTGACCGTTAACATTTGGTGTCCGTGAGAGTTGGGCATCATTGTTAGGTGTCGATTGAATGTGACCATGAATATTCGGTGTTGTCTTGGTATAGACACTCAATATTGAGTGTCAGTTAAGCGGTGAGCATAAATGTTGGATGTCGGTTGAGTGGGATCATGAATATTCGGTGTTGCCTTAGTATAGACATTCAATATTGAGTGTCAGTTAAACGTTGAATATCAATGTTGGAAGTCGATTGAGTGTTGACCAATGTTAAGTATCGGATGGGTGTGATTTAATTCGGTGAATAGTTTGATGTATACACTGGAACACCCAACCTTTACAAAAAAATACTCTCAATTTTGGACGTTAAACACTAAAAAAATATGCTCAAATTTGGGTTAAACACTTTAAAAAACGCTCAAATCAAACGTTGAGCAAATAATATATCTATGAAGTGAGAAACTTCTTTATTCACTAAAACGCGCTTATATGTTTTGACTCACTTTTGAGCCCTCTTCAGAGACAACACAAACTAACATAAATAAAGTGTGAATAAAAAATTATCTTATCATGGTGAACTTCCCTACCTCGAAAATTTAAATACCAGAATTAAACGAAAAAAGAGTGAAAGAAAAAGAAAAAAGAAAAATAAACGAAAAAAAAGAAAATAATGGAAATATCGAAATAGAGAATATAAAAAACTAATTTATCAAAAACCTTAAGATTATAATTAATTATCCCGAAAATAAAGACGCTCACCCTGATCACAAATCACAAACTATATCGCAAACATTACATGAATTATTGAAAAATCGGTTCTTGATATTTTGGCCAGTATCAGACACAGTGAGTCACTTTTAGTTTTAGCTAGTATTATTGAAGCTTACAAATGAAAAATTTTATATTAAAACGTTATTCCATAAAAATGAATCAGTCAGTCGTTCGTACGCAGTATAGTGAGTCTTTCTGGCGTGATTTTTAATTATTTTCTAACTTTTATTTTCATGGAATTGAATAACGTTTTAATGTAAAATTTTTCATTTTTAAGCTTCAATAATACTAACTAAAACTAAAAGTGACTCACTGTATTTGACTGGTCAAAATATTGAGAACCGGTTTTTGAATAATTCAAAGTAGTGGAGACCGGGGATAATAGACTCATTTTTCAGTTTCGAATTTTTACAGACGAAATTAAGAGACTTATCGGAAAAATGAATTCTGCACTAGTTATTACATACATTTGGCTGTCTAATAATATTTTAATAATAAATGTAAACTAATAATTAATATAAAAAAAAATGCATTTTTCTAATTCATTCCATCTGATTCAACTAGCCCCGGAACCGGAGAGAGAGTAAGGTAATTTGACTAATATTAAAATAAAGATTAATGTATATTAAGATTAATGTATTTTAAGGTATTGTACATCTGAATTACATATTAACGAAACGTTTATAAAAATGTATTTTAAATACAAACATAGTCATAAAATAAAAAATGTATTATATATAACTTTATATCTTTGTTATTAAATAAGTAATTTATCTACTCCGAATTGTCATCCGAATTGCAGTTATAGTAAATATAATACGATATGTTGCCCTTTATGCATTTAGAATGTGCTATATTTTATACATTGTATCCACTCGTCTTCTGGAATACTTTTTATATAACTGTCTGTGCAAACGAGACACATTGCATCATCTATCTCATTCGAGGATGAAGAATTTAGTTTATTCAGAATCTTTCTTGTAACTTTTTCAACCAAAGGATGTTTTCCTTTATTTGAATTTTCCTTACTTTTTCCTTTTCTTGTTGTCTTGCTTTTTTGTTCGATTTCCTTTCCTTTTGTTAATTCTACTTCTTTTTTTATTATCCAGCTTCTGTTTCTTGAGTGCATCTTTTTCTGATGAGTCTGTATATATTGCACTAGAACGTTTACGAGTATTTCTTCTTTTTTCTTGACACGGTCCCGCTTTTGGCATAGGTTTTATATTGAAATGTAAGTCTGTTAAACTAGACATTGAAGATAGGTTGACATTTTCCTTGATAGATGAAAGATCGATATTTTTCTGGGCAGCTGAAAAATCGATATTTTCCTTGATAACTGAAAAATCCATATTTTTCTCGTTATCTAAAAGATCGATATTTTCCTGGACAGAAAGTTCATCGTTCTCAGCTTTGATAATAGAAGAAATATTTTCTCTATCGGTCAAATAAGATCCTAAGAATTCACTTTCAGGAAATATATTTTCATTTAGAGGAGATATTCCTGAGACGCGGAAACCTGTTTGAATATTTGTTGAAGTTGTCGCCAGAGGTAATGCAGTTTTTACTATTGCTGGAATGTGATAAATAAATACAGTTTTTCCTGGATTACTAGCTAACCAGTTATCACATACTGTGTTGACATATTTTTTCAAAGGTTCATATACAGATCTATCTAGCGGTTGCAATTTATGACTGCAATGGGGAGGGAATGATAAAATTGTGACTCCATTCTGTATTAATAATCAAGTGCTTCAATAGAAAGGTAAGATTTATGGTTGTCAAGTAAAAGAAGAACAGGCCTTTCTTTAGATGGTCTAACATGACGAATAAATTTATAATATTTTATAAAATGTTCTTCTTTCATCCAACCTGGATTGGCATCATCACCTTCAGATCCAAAAGGGCCTCCTTGTACAAAATGATCTTTGTAATTGACTCTTAGAAATATAAAAAAATGTGGGATTATATTTCCTATAGCTGAAACTGCAACTGCAACAGTAATGAGAGTTCCTCTTCAGCTGAAGTCATCTTTTCTAGTTGCTTTATCCCACGACGTGCAACTACACGATTAGGAGTGTGAACAGTAGTAATCCCTGTCTCATCTATTCCAGATGTCAGATGGCTCCATTTTTAAACAATTGTAGATGTTTTCAAATTTGTGAAGAACAAATTAACATTATGTTTATTAAATGATGTCGCTCTAAAAAGACTTGTGGTTTGTGATCTTATTGATAAATTGTTATTGCGTTTAAGAAAAGATGAGAATCAATCTTCATGTACCATTTCCTTTTCATTCCAAGAATCTGGCACTTTATTTCCGTTTTTTATTGCAAATAAGCCAATTTTCTTATTTCTCTGGATGTTAAACCATAATAAATATCTGCTGCTTTTTTAATGTATTCCACTAAAGTATTGGGAGTATAAATAAGTTTCCGCCGTTTGACAAACAATGGCGCTACCAGTATGTTATAGTTAAAATTGTCAGCTGTAAAACGTCATATCGTAAGGTTGGACAAGAGGCTGGCAAGAACATAACCTTGAAATATTAGCGATTTTGCATCAGCATCTTATATCTTTTTTCATGCGAAAATGTCGAGTTTTGAGCCGAATAAGCATCATTTGCGGGAGCTTTTGATTTACTTCTTTAATTTGAAGAAATCTGCAGCTGAGGCGCATCGATTGCTTGTAAAAGCATATGGTGAGGCTGCCTTAAGTGAGAGAAGTTGCCGTGAGTCGTTTCAAAAATTTAAGAACGATGAATTTGGCGTTGAAGACAAAGAACGTAGCGGAAGGCCGAAAGTGTACGAAGACGCGGAATTGGAAGCATTATTGGATGAAGATTCGTGCCAAACGCAAGAAGTACTTGCACTTACATTAGGAGTGACTCAACCAGCAATTTCACATCGCTTAAAATCGTTGGGAATGATTCAAAAGCAAGGAAATTGTGTTCCATATGAACTGAAGCCGAGAAACGTTGAACGCCGATTTTTCACATGTAAAATGCTGTTTGCCAGGCATAAACGAAAGGGTTTTTGCACCGTGTAATCACTGGTGATGAAAAATGGATCCACTACGATAACCCAAAGAAGAAGAAATCATGGGGACCACCTGGCCATGCTTCAACATCGACAGCCAAGCCGAACATTCATGGGAAAAAGCTCATGTTGTGTATTTGGTGGGATCAGCTAGGTGTCGTTTTTTATGAGTTGCTCAAACCGAACGAAACCATTACTGGGGCTCTCTACCGAACACAATTGATGAGATTGAGCCGAGCACTCAAGGAAAAACGCGTTCACTACTACTCCAGACACGACAAAGTTATTCTTCTGCATGATAATGTTCGTCCACATGTTGCGGCGCCGATCAAAACCTACTTGGAAACACTCAATTGAGAAGTTTTACCCAACCCGCTGTATTCACCAGACATTGCTCCTTCTGATTACTACCTGTTTCGATGGATGGCGCATGGCCTGTCTGAGCAACACTTCACATCATATGAAGATACCAAAAATTGGGTCGATTCGTGGATAACTTCAAAAGATAAAGTGTTTTTCCGACGCGGTATCCGTATGCTGCCAGAAAGATGAAAAAAGTAGTGGCTAGCGATGGACAATACTTCGAATAAAACATTAGGTACCGTTCTTTCACAATAAATGCCCAATTTTTTATAAAAAACGGCGGAAACTTATTTATACTCCTAATACTTTCTTCGGTATCAAAATTTGACTTTTGATATAATCTACATGAGTTAATCGAATATTCGATACTTGACTGGAATTTTTTTCTGCAGCTTTTAATTTTGTAACATATCGATGTAAGATTTTATATAGGATATTATATTTCAATCCTGAAGAACGAATACTTTTTTCTTCTAAAATTACTTCTTTCCATGCAAATTCTATAATGTTCTTCGAAATATTTCCTTCGTCTGTCTTTCGCTTGTAAGTCCTCATGATTTCCTATAATTAAATTAATATCTCAGTATTTCATAATATTATCCGGTAAAAAATTTGTCATACATGAATACCTATGTATAAATATACACAACATATTGTATATAATTGATTTATTACACTTAAAAGTAATTTTACAAAAGAAAGAAGGATGTATGAACATATATGGATATACGAGTATTTCATATATAATTATACATATATGTTCATGAATATTTATACATGTTATGTATAAATGTTCATAAACATATATAATATAATTTATTATATGATGTATGTTTATACATATTTACATATACATGCATGAAAAATTTCTTATACGTGTAATTTAACATAAATATTATTATATATTGTATATTTATTATATATTATATATTGTATATTTTTATTATTAAAATTTATTCAAAAATTTTTGCATTATTGGTGCATTTAAAAAATATACTATGTAAATTTTTTTGAATAAAAACCGAAAAAGATGGTAAAAATACAGCTACTTATGGAACAAAGTGAGATCGCCTTGATAAAAAAAGTTGATAGAGAATAATTGAAAATGATAGGATTTCTATTAATTTGTGTCGTTTTTCATAAGTTTATATCATTTTTTATCGTTGACCTCGCGAGCATTACGATTAATCCAATATAAATCCTATCGTATTTTATCAGATTTTATAAGATTTGTACAAGATTCCTATAAGATCTGATTCAAATTAATGTATTTACGAACCAAATTTCATATTCAAAACGATAGGATTTTTCAATATTTTTACGAGGATAAAGCAAATGACAGGTTTCTTAACCTAACAAACTTTAATGATTAATATTTCAATTTGCAAGGCAAAACAATGGTTCTTTTTGCTAAATTCGTTCATTTTGTGCAAAAACACGTCGAATGAGCTTAGTTTTATCGTAATAAAGACAAATAAACAAAAAACTCTGTTAGATTTTATTAAGTAAGAACTACTCATACTATATAAATGGAAATCAAATATCTCAGATAATTATATATGATTGTAAAACAAAAACTTTAAGAATAATAATATTTACTTACGTGTACGATTTTTTTAAATTGTAGCATAACTTTTATCATAGATGCGTCTGTTTCGCGATATCATAGAAGACGACAGTCGTTGCTGCGTGCTTGGACATGTTTACGCGAGTCTTGCGCTATTTGTTTTCAACGTAGCTTCGATTAATCTAACCTAATCCTATAGTCTATTGACCCCGGTTTTCCCTACGCAATATACGGCGATAATTATCCTTATTTCGGTTGTAGTATGAGCTCACTCTCAATCGGAAATCATTGAATCGCGTAATACAAAATAACAGGAAGAACATGGACATACTATTATCACAAGAGTCACCAACCAAACAAATCCTACAATTATAATCGCGACTTTTTTGCAAAACGTCATATAAATAATCTCCTCGGCTTTATATGGGATTATTCCCGAGTGACTCCGTCAACGCAAAAAAGGGTAGGTCACGACTCAAAATTGCTGTGCACGATAAGATATGGCAATCCAACAATTATGCGCAAAACGGAACACAGCAACAAGGTTGTGGCAAGAGAGCGGCGAACATTACACGATAAGAGAATATGGTAATCTAGGTGATTCGACGAACGGCACGTAGCATCCAAAGATTAATTACTCGTGGTAACTCCTTGTATGAGCCATAGCCTTTCGGCTTGAATTGGGCACGTGCGATTCACTCGATTTTGCAATATCGGCAGTTTTACGATATTTCTACGCTTGTTTCACCGGTAAATCCTCCTTCTCGATTCTTTTAATGGTTCTCTTGGCAACTGCGTTCTCTCGCTCTCTCAATAGTACCATTACATTATCCAGGATCCTGAGTCCTCGCTGTTGATTCGGCTCGTGCCATAATGCAAGTGATTTCGGCAGGTCCGGCGAGGACACGCAGACCGCTAGGTTCTTCGGGATCGAGATATCCCGGCGCCTGATTGATTAATAGCCATGTCGTGCGATCCCGCGAATCATGTGGGTCCGCGATAGCAACATAACTTCGCGCGGTTTGGAGCGAAATCCAAATTTGACAGAATAGTCTTCTCTTAATTGACTCCTCTCGTTTCTCGCAGTTCCTCTTGCTTCATGCAGTTCTTCTTACCACTTGAGTCTTAGACCGCTTAGTCTTTTTGGTGGACGTTTTACTAGGCTGTCTTTCTGAAAAGTTGCATCATTCTGGAGGCACGTATCCTGTGCAGCTTTTTCACGTACGAGGCTTGTACCCTGGAGTTTCGGCGTCCTTGTATTTTTCTTGTAAAACAGGATCAGTAAACAGATCACTAAATAGGCATAGATAACAGATGTAAACAGCAAAAATAAAAGAGTTATATAACCTGCGTATCCACTGGGAATAGTCCGAAGCTTCTTCGATAACGGTCTTTTTTGACAGCCCTTTCCTCTGCTAGCAACCAGGTGATAGCTTGATACAATCCACGTACACAGTTATCGATTCTCACTCTGGTTATCGCTACTTAAAGATTCTTATAAAAGATAGTAAAAAAAAAAAAATAAATTAAAGTGCACGGGAGTTAGCGCCCGCACGCAAATTCGCTCAGCCTCACAAGCTAAGAGGACTCAGGATCCACTTAGCTTATCTACAACATAGTGACGGATGAAAACGTCATGTCACAATGTAAAGGTACAATACTCGCCGGACACTACCGGAAAAAGAAGGATGGGTCAACCTATGCAAGCGCTAACCTAAACGTATCGCTAAGCCGCAAAATTTTTAGTGTCTTCTTCTCAGTGGGTTTCGAACTTAGCGCCAGAAGAAATCTTTAAACGTCCTAAATCTAACTCTTCCTTCCCACAAGAAGATTTCTTTTTAGAAGAAGTTTGTATAAAATTCTGCGAATTTAGAAGGTAATCTTCTTTCTCGAGCTGGTAACTCTCTTCGATTTGGTTCTTTCTGAGCCGTTCGCCTTTTCGTAAGTTCCCGTTCAGGAATTATTTCTTTAGCTTACGCGATACTGGGTCGTTTTCTACGTCGTTTTGGTCCTGATTTGTTGGACCGTTATCTGGTTTCTTCGAAGCAACATTGCTAAAACCGTTCTCGGATCTCCATTCGCGTATTAATTTTAGCTTGAGGAGAGATTTGGGAAATTCTCATCCGTTTTGCGCATCTGGTCTATGTCCTTTCTCAGATTCTGCCATCGTCTAACGCGATTATAAAATGTAATTTCCCGATATGTCGAACGATTTTTCCAAAACACCATTTTTATTTTTATATCAACTCTATTGTTATAATTTCGACATTGAACTTTGTCTCCTCTCACAAAAACTTTACATTTCTTAAACACATTCATATCGGGATATATCTTGGAATTATCCGGTAAACATTAAATTAGATTTGTGCGCATCTTCTAAAAATTAGATCACAAGATGCAATGCTAGTAACTCAATGGAGAATTTGCACTACATTTTCTAAAGATAATTTCTTATTCTTAGGATTCGCAAGCATTTTTTGCAAATTCTTCAACATTTGGACGAATCGCTACGACAATCCGTTTGAGGCAGAATACGGAGCAGTGAATTTGAAGGTAATCCCATTTTCTTTTAATAATTGCAAGAATACTGTGAAACAAAAATTACGACCATTGTCGATAATCATTACCTTTAGCAGCCCGAAACCAGTGAAAATATCTTTGCATTCGTTAGTAATAGGTTTTACTGTGATATTTTTGACTACGCGTACGAACGGTTTGGAGTAGGCATCCATGAAAACAAAGAAAATTGCGCTCATAAAGGACCCTGCATAATCTGCATGAATGCACTTGAAAGGGCCTTTCACGGTTCTCATTTATGTATTTCTGCTTTTGGTGGATTGTTCTTGTAATAAACTCATTGCGAAAAATATTGCCTCGGCTGGGAATCGAACCCGGATCTCTTGCTTTCCGTGTCTCGGTAGTCTAAAAGCTTAGGACGCTCGCACGGAATGCAAGAGATTCGGGTTCGACTCCCGGCCGAGGCAATATTTTTCGCAATAAATTTATTACAGTTTTTTAAGATTTGGGAAATTTTTAGGGGATTATTTGTTTCAGATTGATTGTGTCAATCCGATAATTTCATCGGCTCGCAATTTATTTCTGAAAATTAATTCAATTTAAATGAGTGTATATTATATAGCAGTTCAATATCTTAACACTCGGACCGGTAAGGCGCTTCGTTTTTCAAATAATACTAATTTTTGTAAAAATGATCAATTTTTATGCTTTTTAAATATTGTAATTCAATGTGAATTATATACTGCGGCTGTGTTCTAAAATTCACTATAAGTGCTGAAAATGTATAGGATAACTCTGGTAAATACGCCGCGCTGGAATTTACGCCACAGAAGTCAGAAAAAATAAAAGGAGTGGGGGTAATTTTCCCGCAATTACTCTATTACATGCCTTTATGTTATATTAGTATTATATTGTGATTTCAGCTTCTTACTCTTAATATTAATG